GCCGGGGGGCGGACGAACTCGCTGCCGGCCTCCTGGGCTGGGGAGGGATGGCTGCCGTCCGTGAGGGAGCGGAGGAGTCGCCGCCGTTCACCTGAGGCCGGAGCCTGCTGCCATCCGCCATGATGGGGAGGAGCAGGGAACGGGGGACTCCTGCTGGCTGCCCGAACCTGGAGGAGTCATCTCAGGCCATCCAACGGAGTGTCGGGCCGTCCACCGAGGGCTGTCTAGTGCCACCACCTGGCATCACGGAAGAGTTTACCCAGCTGGTGGAGGGCCGAGTGGCAGTGTGTCTGGGAACCGGAAGATTTTTTTTTTCCTCTCTCCCCTCTCTCGTCTCTGTCTCTCCTCATCCTTCCCTCTCCTTTTCTCTCGCCTCGTCTGTCTGTCCTTACCCCCAGGTACGCCGCAGCTGCCGTGATCGGCTCCCCCAGAGGGGGGAGGGGGGGGGGGTCTCGTGAATACCCCCCGGCCTGCGAGGGGGGTATGTGACGAGAGGGGCGGGGCCGAGAGCCGTGGGAACGGAGTGAGGCCGGTGGAGTAAATGCTAATGCGCAACACCTGCGCCACTCACCGGTCTCGAGTCCCACGGAGGAGCTCCGGAAGGATAAAAGGAGGAGTGACGACAGTGTTGGACGAGAGAGGACCAGGCCTGGATTTTATTTTGTTTTGTGTGCGGCAGTCGTGGGGCTACTTTTGTGTTTGTTTATTTTATTAAAGTCTTTAAAAGTTCGCCGGTTCCCGCCTCCTTCTTCCCGTGACTATGAACTTTGTTATATTGGTGCCGGAAGGATAAAAGGAGGAGTGACGACAGTGTTGGACTACGAACTTTGTTACAATGGCTTGGCAAACGATATTTTCGTGCACGTGCATTCCAAATAAAACTTTTTTTGGCCGTTAAATAATGGCGCAAATACCAGCAATTTGACGAGCGCAAACGTTAGTAAAGCGCTTCGCGTGATTCATTTGAATACTCTCCTCCCATAAATTTTGCGTCTGAAAGGAAAACTCCTACAAATGCATATTTCAGCGCTAATTCATCACTGCGCATCTTTAGTAAATCCTGACAGTACTATTTTAAAGCCAAAAGACGGTTTGCGCTGGCGCAAGCTGTTAGTAAAACTGTATTACAAGTTTTCTGAAATGTTATGTTTTAAAAAGCAAAGGCATTATTTAATTAAATTATATATTTATTTTTACATAGGGGATTTTGGATTTTTTTGAATCACTCTATATATCAGAAAATATATATCAACAACCAGAAAAAAAAATCACCAAGTTTTTAGGAATATCATTTTATATAAACCAGGTGAAGGATATATGAACGAATCACTCTCGATAAGAACAAAACCGGAACGTACAGTGATATGTACTGGTATTATGTATATGTGTGATATGTATATGTATTCTGGCTCAGTGCAGGAGAAAAAAAAAATACTTTTGAGAAAACCATGTGTATTATAATCAAAATCTACACACGCACATGAAGTGCAATACAAAGTGAAATAAAATAAACACTTAAATGTGTATTGTGGATATTTACTTTCCGCTAAAACATGTTACAGAAGCAAAATAGTTCAAAATTCTGCAGTGGATGTAAAACCAATCGTTTTGCCTGTAGTGTTCTACCATAAGATATTGTTGTTGCTTTCTTATCCAATGGATTTGAGCTATTACAACATTAACCATATTAGTGTCATTCTGTCCATTTAACATGATAAACAGGACTGCAATTCTTGTGAAAGATACTTTTAAATATATTACACATATTAGAGTATACATGTCAATTACTCTACCAGAACGGTAGCTCTATTCTTGGCTTGCATGAGCTTTTTGTCATTCAAAGTAATATTTGTTGTTGTTGTCAAGCTTGTCATGGTTTGCATGTAATGTCTATGTAATGACTAGACGTCACTTTCAGAGTAAACCATTAATTATACTGAGCAATGTGGTTTTGTCATGTGGCGTCACATAGCGCCGCTCGATTGCAGAGTTGATGTGTTTGTTGTGTTACACACTATTATGCTATTAAGAGAATGGAACTGTATTTGTCAGCAAATGGTTAAATAGACAATGTGTTAGTTATTTGAAAAACAGTTCAAAAACTGATGTCAAGTTTCCAGTAGTGTGTCTGTCCACACTGAAAGCAAATGTTCTGCACAAAACTATCACAGTCATTTAGAAAATGAAAACTGGGAGTTTTGGACCAATGAGATTTCAATATGCAGAATGCAACTGAAAGGCAGCTGTGACTGGTTAGGTGTAGCGCATGGTGCAACTTCCTTTATTAATCCAAATGATTATTCCAAAAGTTATCTGTATACTTACGACTAATTACTTGAAATGGTTAATCTTGAAGATCAGTTGATTTTTTTTGTTTAATTGCTCTGAAAAATAGTTTAAAAAAGGATTTTCATAAAACGTTGTACTCTGCAAAACATTTTGGTTATCTTTAAAGGTGAATCATACAAAAATGTTGGTCTTTATGAGTATTAACAAACACAGGATATACCGTAATACACATTTTAAAATGTTTGACTCTCAAGAGTGTAAATGCTTCATTTGCTTATAATTCAATGATATTTCACACCGTAAACTCACATTCTGAATGTTAAGAAATTGCTTAATACAATTTAAATTTGTATCTGGATATTTGATTTAAAAAGATGTAAACATTTAAGTAAAAAAATCCAAACAGATGTAGTGATAACTTGTGATATAATCAAGTGAAAAATATATTTGGTTAAAAGTGTATTTTTAGTTTCAGTTGACTTTAGAAATATGATTTGGTCCAACTTATTTATGAATTTTTTTACTTGAGAAAAAGTAAACCAATTATCTGTAACAAGTTAAAGTAATTTTTTTTTTTACTTTGATCCAACGACACACTATTTTTCAGTGTAGGTTTCATGAGATTAAAAGCATCAAAGGGATAGTCCACCCAAAAAAGAATTAATGCTAATATTTAGAATTTTCATACATGCATTTACAAGAGGGTTTATTAGTTTTCACTTGACGTAGATGTTAGTGCATTGTGAAGCTAATACAAGTGCAAGTTTCCTTAACTTCTTACACAAGCCTCACAATGTGTTTGTCAAGTTTCACAACATGTTTACATTTACGTCACGCGTAAACTTGACCTTCTCATAAAAATGTGCGACAACTGGCCTAAAGTAATGATTTTTAGTAAAAAAGTAAAAAAAGAAAATAAAAGCAGTTTAAATTAATATTGAGTGCTGATTGATGTTCACTTGGATTTTTTTCCCCATCGAGGGGAAATAACTTAATTTTATAGTCATTTATAGTCGTATAAATGACTATAAAACGTAATTGGCCGTCATTTATAGTCGTATGGTAAAATGTATATTTTTAATTGTGTAACGTTACATTCAAAATAACTACAAAATGTTATGCCTTTGAAAAAATAAGTAGAACAACAGAATGCGTTGCTTTAGCGCGTCTCGGTCTCCTTGAGCATCTTTCTGGCGCATGCCACAAACATCAACCACAGGGAATACTCGTCTTTTAAAAGGCTTCATTTAGATTATTTTACATTAAATGCATCATATAAGTCACTTTGGAATAAATCACAGTAGGCCTATGTATCATGTTAAAAAAGCAACTTTACACTCTGTAAAATATAGTAGGCTAGCAAATTATTTCTTGGACCCCCTGTCACTTTAAGAACCGCCGGTCTACACAGAAGAAAGAACTGTCTAGACTCTGGCCCGGTACGAGTTGTGTCGAGCTGTTCATTAGTCTGTTTGATGAGAAAAATATGAAATTGATAAAAATGGGTTATTAATCCGTACAACTGCAACAGTGGAGGACTATTATTCTGCTGCGTGATACTGCGGAAGAACTGATGAAGGCACGGTTTAATCTTCGGCTGACCAATCAGCAGAAAGGGGTGTTTAATTCCCGCCCACATGTAGAAATCGAATATTCAAGCCGTTTATTAATTTTTTCACCCATGAACGAAAAACGAAAATTTAAGCTGAATTCTCATTTTTTCGGAGAAAAAAAAACAAAAGGAGCCGTTTTCTAATTTTTCTACTTTCAATATTAAATCAAAAAACGAATGATCGAATGATACACGGATTCACACAAGTTCTTTGGCTTCAAAATACATTAGCTGCATCTGAAATGGCATACTGTATTGTAGGTAATACATTCGGTTTGCAACCATTACATTTACATTGCAACCATTAAAAAAAAAGTACATTCTATATGTGACCCTGGAAGACAAAACCAATCTTAAGTCGCTGGGGTATGTTTGTAGCAATAACCAAAAATACATTGTATGGGTCAAAATTATCGATTTTTCTTTTATGCCAAAAATCATTAGGATATTAAGTAAAGATCATGTTCTATGAAGATATTTTGTAAATTTCATACTGTAAATATATCAAAACTTAATTTTTGATTAGTAATATGCATTGCTAAGAACTACATTTGGACAACTTTAAAGGCGATTTTCTCAATATTTAGATTTTTTTGCACCCTCAGATTCCAGATTTTCAAATAGTTGTATCTCGGCCAAATATTGTCCTGTCCTAACAAACCATACATCAATGAAAGCTTATTTATTCAACTTTCAGATGATGTATAAATCTCAATTTCGAAAAATGGACACTTATGACTGGTTTTGTGGTCCAGGGTCACATATACTGTATGTATATGGGTGGTATGAATGCAATCCGGGCATAGTACTTCCACCATGTTTCAGCTGCTTCACTGCCAAGTCCCGGAATTATTTTTTTTTTTTAACTAGATGGTTTTGCAAGTTTTTAATAAAGTGCATGTCACTTGAATCATGTTGTTGTTATGTTTTTAAGTTGACTAGTTCAACGTTAAAACATGGAGATTAAATTTTTTGCCATATATCCCTTTAAAGAACAGTCATGTCCTAAACTGAACGTAAAGCATCCAAACATTTAGCCTAAAGAAAAAAAGAAATCACATCTGGAAAATGAATTCCATGCAGAGCAGCACAAACACCTTTGAGCGTCAACTGTCAACACGTGTGGAAGAGTTTCTGTCTGTACGACTGGGCCTGTGGAGAAGCCAATCTCACGCATTACCACAAAAGCGTTAACAAGCCGTCTCTCTCGCCAGCGATGACACCACACACACCCGAGGCTGCACTGTTTTAGGTCATCACACTAGCCAGACGAGTGGTGACAGACAGCGAGCAGTGCCAGTTCCAGCAGCTGGGTTCATTATTCACATTTAATTGTCAGCACACAATTGTGTGAAAAGCACTACAGTGATCAACACATTTATAATGTGAAGTTTTCAAGGATATACACTGCTACAAAGCCATTAAACCACAGCTCGTTTAACAAACCCACCATCAACTGTAAATTTTAAGGCAATTACTTTCGGACCAGAAACATTTTTAATAACTAGTTTGTGTACACAAGCAGACTTAGGCCCTGTTTACACATAGTATCAATATCCGTCTCAGGTGAGTGTTTATAACAGAATAATTACAGAAGTGATAGCAAGGTTTACACCACAGATGATACGTGGTCACATGTTTTCATCTACCTTCAAATGTAGTTTGAGTGATCCAAGCAGATGTATTAAGATGGATCATAATACTAGGTGTACATAATCCTGGAAAGTTTCCAAAATTTCTGGAATGTTTCCGAAATTTACTGGAAATTTTCCAAATTTGTGCAACTCTACCAAGGTCTGTACATATGTGACCTGAACATAAGATTCAGATAATCTCTTCCTGTCTAAGGGCCTGTTTACACTTGGTCAGTTCATGCGCTTTCTCTGATTGGATATCTATCTGATTTGTTTAAACCGTTCCATTTACACTTGGCCACATAAACGTGTCTCCGCAAAACGGATATAAATCCGATCTTCAATTCCCGCGCTATATGCAAATTTAATGGAGTTCACGTCAACGAAAGCAATAGATATGCACTGCATTTTATTCATCAGCAGCTAATTTCAAAATCAAAGACCACAACATGAGAGAGAGAGAGCGGCATCAGCACTGGAAAGATAAGTAAGTCTTACCACTTTTAATGAAGATGATTGTGTGTTGAACATCTGCAACTTACTTTCATTTGCACCAGTTTGCGTATCGGTTTGCTGAAGAGATACTTAACTACTCATCCGCGGCGATGCGTGTTGCATTAGCGCTGTCATATCTGACTATATAACATGCCATATAGCTTATAACACACTCTTACACATTTATTAGTTTACATTTTGGAAGGAGTAAAATTTACATATGCGATTTCAACAACCAGATGCATTCACACTTTTCCAGTTTCATCTTGAATGCTTCCTTGACAATCTCCTGAAGTGGTTTGAGTGATCGGATTAAATCCAACTCGAAAGTGGCATTTACAACTGGTCTTTTCACAATCGGATTACTATCCGATCACAGATAACACATAAAGAGACCAGGTGTAAACAGGCCCTAAGAGGGCAGTTCTAAGGCCTCATTCTGCAAAAATCTGACTATATGGCTCAAATTCCTTTAATTTTTTTTTAGATTCTGAACAGTAAAAAACACAAGCCTGATCCTGGTTTTAATTTATTGCTATACCAGGTATTGTGACGAAATCCTATGCTAAAGTTTTATGCATAGTGATTAGGGCTGCATGATAAATCGCATGCGATATTTAACGCGCATCTCCATCACGTGCATGCTTTCACATTGAGCAGCATTAACTACACAGAGCCGTTGTTCACTGACAAGCTGCGCAAAAAAATGGCGCGAATATGAACGTGGTTTTGCGCAGCTTGTCAGTGAACAACGGCTCTGTGTAGTTTATGCTGCTCAATGTGAAAGCACGCACGTGATGGAGATTTACCGCTGATTACAGAACCAGCTTTACTGACAAGATGCGCATTAAATATCGCATGCGATTTATCGTGCAGCCCTAATAGTGATCCTACTTTTGTAGACAGGATTGAACTGGATTAAAGGATTTGAGTTTTCCCCTGCAGTGTGAACAAAGCCTTTCACAGCAAAAGCCTCAATGTGAACCACACTTTATACACGTAGTCAAAGTCTGATTATGTCAGACTAAACAAATGTTAACATTTCATAAACATTTATTAAGATGAGTTTTTATATTGTCATATTTTTATCGTTATATTTTTTTAATTGTAATTGTTGTAATTGCCCTGTTCTTACCTGCTGTCCCAAAACCGTATTTTTCTGTCATAATGGCTGCTGATGATGAGGTACTCGGAGCACACAACATCACTACAGAAAGACAAAACCTCAATGGTTTGTATGCCTGTGAGTAGAAACGATAGAGAAATATGGAAATGACTGATACTAAAGTGCTAATTTGTTGAACAAATGATTGCAGACAGATGCAGAATGTGCTCGTTGTTAGTTAATGCATGAGTGATTAGTTGCAAATTTTTGTGACACATACACGCTGCTCGCTGGAGGTCCCATATCTTCACGGTCCTGTCCGCACTGCCCGTGACCACCTGCCTCTGACTGTATTTAAATCTGGCAGCTGTCACTTTACGAGAATGACCCGTCAATGTAACCTAGAAAAACAATATAGACATACTTTTAATGAGAAGCTAAACAGAATCTCTCTAAACATGTCAAGAACATTTCCATGTCATATTTTCTCCCAAAATTAAAAAAGAAAGTAATTATATTTTGCATAAGAAAATATGACTAGTGTGTGTGTGTGTACATAGTCTGCATACATATACTGTATATATATAAAGAAATATTCAATCAATTTTACAGCATTTGGAGCAATTGTGTCTTGTTAAAGTAGTCTCCTCTCATTTTCAGCATGTCGAATTGGTTTTAAGGAGAGCAACGGTGTCTTTTTACCCTTTCTGTCACGCTAGTAAATTTTCAGACACATTTTTATATAAAATATGGGTCATTCCTGTTATGCCAAACCCTTTGAACTTTGTATCTTATACAAAACGTATAAATATGATTTCTAATTTGTTTTTCTATAAGAGTGTCACGTTGTTGTCTTTTTTTTTTAATTCACCCCATATTCACTGAACTGTATTTCCTAATATGATAAGATGAGAGATGATCATTTCATACAATATATTAAGACAAATATGCTGGGCCATAAAAATTACTGCATAGTAAGAATGACCCATATCTGGCCTGTTTGCATCAAAAATCATGTGACAAGCTGATTCCGCCCCATAAAACTCTCCCACACTTCATTGTCATGTAAAACCCAATGGAATCTTAGCAGGCACAGCAATAAACATCTTTAACATGGTTCATACTCCTCTCATCTGATGATGCTCTAAAGTAATTCAGAGACAGACTAGCGCAGGGAGGTTTGGGTGGGTGAGAGGTAAGCTCTGTTACCTTGGGAACGCTGTCCTCCAGCCTCCAGAATAGAGCTGACTTGTCATATGACGCAGCTAAAATCTGAGTACCCTGATGGAAAAGCACAGTTACACATCCCACAATGCATTAGAGCAGTAACCACAGCATAATCAACTCAACAACCTTACAGGAACAGTCTCCTTATATTACTAATAAAGATCCTTCAGTAGCCGAGGACTCAGTGGAGTCATATGGAATGTTCTTCAGCTCATCTAAAGCAGGGGTTCCCTTTCAGTCGGTCACTCTCGACGTCACGTCGGTAATGACCGACTTTGAGATCTCGCTTAGAGAGACCAATCCACTTCGAGCGTAAACTAAACGAGCCAATGCACATTGGCATGCGATGATTGCATCCAGCTGTCGCTGATCGCAGCGCGAGTATAACTAGGCAGCAGGTGCAACGCATACTAAGCTTTTCGCTTCAGAGCCGAGCGATCACATCATTTTGTATACTCTGAATACTCTACTGAGAGAAGAAGACTGAACGAGTTCAGCACGCTCTTTGGCGCTCTTGGTGTTGGTGGTACAGCGCTTAAGCGGTGGTGGTTTCCCGTGTCGAGTGGGTTGCACATATCAGGCTGCACTACCCCTGTTTGTGTTGCAGGCGGCCATCTCCCCTGTGCACTCAGCATGCCAAAACAGCTTTTTCCCTAAAAGAGCATTCACGGGTGCATCTTTTTAAAGACGACGTTGTGTCTGGCAAACTCGACGTTGCGTCTTGCTACAGACAACGTATTACCCATGCCACGTCGTTACCTGGCGTCGGGTGATGGTCACGATCGCTGCCTCACGTGTCTGGGCATTAAGCACGCTGAGGTGGCGTTCATGGATGAGTCATGTTCTCATTGCGGGCCAAGCTCTGTTACCTCAAAAGGGGCAGAGCTCCATTGCCTCTGCCTCGATCTAGTTCTCGTCATGGCGGCAGTCAGGCGGGGGCTACTTCAAGCAGTAGCACAGGCGGTCTGAGGGTAACCTGATGGCAAACCCTCCAGGGAACCAACCTTCGGGGGACCATCGCTCCTCTTGCACTCCGCAACGCACTACCCCTGTTTGTGTTGCAGGCGGCCATCTCCCCTGTGCACTCAGCATGCCAAAACAGCTTTTTCCCTAAAAGAGCATTCACGGGTGCATCTTTTTAAAGACGACGTTGTGTCTGGCAAACTCGACGTTGCGTCTTGCTACAGACAACGTATTACCCATGCCACGTCGTTACCTGGCGTCGGGTGATGGTCACGATCGCTGCCTCACGTGTCTGGGCATTAAGCACGCTGAGGTGGCGTTCATGGATGAGTCATGTTCTCATTGCGGGCCAAGCTCTGTTACCTCAAAAGGGGCAGAGCTCCATTGCCTCTGCCTCGATCTAGTTCTCGTCATGGCGGCAGTCAGGCGGGGGCTACTTCAAGCAGTAGCACAGGCGGTCTGAGGGTAACCTGATGGCAAACCCTCCAGGGAACCAACCTTCGGGGGACCATCGCTCCTCTTGCACTCCGCAACCAGTTGCGCTGCCAAAGGAACATGTTGGGCCCTCTACAAGGAGTGTACCAGCTGTATCCTTCGGGCGCTCCTCCCAACGATCGGATGTCGATTGCTGCATCGGAGGGTGAGCCGGAGCTTTCTGGAGAGGAAGATTCGGCTGCTGCCCTCTGGGACTGTTGCAATGCCTGAATCGGATCCGGAAATGACGGCTATGCTTTCCCGGGCCGACGTGAGGTTTGGGCTCGAGTGGAGACCTCCACCGTGTCCCGAGCTCTCAAGGTTGGACGATTGTTTCTTCGGGGTGGCCCGCACTGGTTCTCAGCGCCCCGCCCCAGTGCCATTCTTCCCGGAGGTGGATGAGGGGCTTACCAGGTTGTGGATGGCACCTTTTTTTGCCGGAAACCGACCTGCTAACTCTTCCTCCCGCACCACTCTTGACGGTGGTGCAGCAAGGGGGTATACGGGGTCCCCCTGGTGGAGTGGTCGGTTGCAATGCAGTTGTGTCCTAATACCGCCTCCAGCCATCAAGGGCAAACCGTACCTCCCCTCCCAGGTCTGTAGGTACTTGTCTGGTCTGTCCGGCAATGCTTATGCAGCCTGTGGAGAAGCTGCCTCCGTCTAACACTAGGGATGTAACGATTCACTCAACTCACGATTCGATTCACAATTTTGATTTCACGATTCAATTTGATTTTTTTCGCCCACAGACTGGGTCCTGCGTTCCACCTCGCTGCCCCACTGCGGGTACATCGGTGGTCCCGCTGGTTCAGCTTGTACGGTGTCTAGGTGCCTGGCTACCAAACCCGTCTCGCTGGCTCCTGCGGACCATCAGACTCGGCTATGCGATTCAGTTCACCCGGCGTCCCCCCAAGTTCTGCGGCATCCGCTTCACATCAGTGAAGGCAGCTGATGCTCCTGTCTTGCATGCGGAGATCGCAGTCCTACTGGCGAAGGATGCGATAGAGCCAGTCTCTCCAGTCGATATGAAGACGGGGTTTTACAGCCCCTACTTCATTGTACCCAAGAAAGGCGGTGGGTTACGACCAATCTTGGACCTGCGTGTCTTGAACTGGGCCCTTCACTGGTTACTGTTCAAGATGTTGATGCAGAAATGCATCTTCGGGTGCATCCATCCCCAAGATTGGTTTGCAGCGATCGACCTGAAGGACGCGTACTTTCATGTATCGATCCTTTTGCACCACAGACCATTGCTGCAGTTCGCGTTCGAAGGACAAGCATATCAGTACAAGGTCCTGCCCCTCGGGTTCTCACTGTCGCCCCATGTCTTCACGAAAGTTGCGGAGGCAGCCCTTGTTCCCCTGAGAGAGCAGGGCATTCACATTCTCAACTACCTCGACAACTGGCTTATACTAGCTCAGTCTCAAGATCAGTTGTGCGAACACAGGGACTTGGTGCTCTGCTCCTGATTGCATTGGCCTCCATCAAGAAGGTAGTGCATGCATTTTCGGTCGACGAATCATGCCTAGAGTTTGGGCTGGCTGACTCCCAGGTAATTCTGAGGCCCCGGCCCGGCTACGTGCCCAAGGTTCCTACTACCCCCTTTCAGGGTTCAGGTTGTGAACCTGCAAGCGCTGCCCCCAGAGGAGGCAGACACAGCCCTAGCTTTGCTTTGTCCCATCCGAGCCTTGAGATGGTACGTAGACCGGTCATAAAGCTTTAGGACCTCAGATCAGCTCTTTGTCTGTTACGGAGGCCGGCAGAAGGGGAATGCCATCTCTAAGCAGAGGATGGCCCACTGGATAGTGGATGCCATCACCCTGGTTTATCAGGCACAGGGTGTGCCCTGCCCGCTCAGATTGCGAGCTCAATCTACTAGAAGTGTTGCATTCTTCTTTACGCTGACTCGTGGCGTCTCGCTGACAGATATTTGTAGAGCTGCAGGCTGGGTGACCCCCAACACGTTCGCTAGATTCTATAGCCTTCATGTAGAGCCGGTATCCTCCTGTGTTCTCACCTTAAATGGGTAGAAGCACTGAGAGGCCCTGGTTTAGGCTTGCTAAACCGCTCCAGAGAGTCCGTACGGTAAACCCTGTCGAGCGCCTCCATCCCCTCGGCAGCCAGACGTGGCGGACCGTCCGGCGCCAGGCCCTCACTAAATGAATCCGTGAGAACCGGTAGAGGGCTGGGTTCCATATGTAGAGACCTGAGTGGATCCCATATGTGTAAAGTCCACGGTATAGCCTCAGGGCCCGTGTTTCCCTGGCAGACTTCTGCCATTTCCAAGAGGGTTATAATCACCTCTAATCTTCCATATGCACCTAAACGGTTGTTCATATGTGTAAGTGCTTCCAAAACCTCCTTCGGGAAGGATTGGGCTTCTGCAATGTTCCTGTTCCAAGTGGAACGTGTATGTTTTCCCAGTGTTATCCAATCTCACTGAGTGGGTAGTTCTACGGCAAACAGTGACTGGTCTTCTTGTTGCGAGCCCCGGCCTACGCCGAAAAGGGGGCGCAGGAGGCTCGCACAGGACTCTGGAAGTGGCAGCATCTGTGGCGCTTTGGTAGGGATCCCAAAGTCGGTCATTACCGACGGGACGTAGAGAGTGACCGACTGAAAGGGAACGTCTCGGTTACGTATGTAACCCTCGTTCCCTGAAGGAGGGAATGGAGACATCACATCTCGTTGCCATAGCTGCTGTACCACCACTGAGCGGCCAGATCACCGGCTCGGCTCATCAGCGAAAACCTGAGTATGCGTTGCACCTGCTGCCTAGTTATACTCGCGCTGCGATCAGCGGCAGCTGGATGCAATCATCGCATCAATTTAGTTGGATTGGTCTCTCTAAGCGAGATCCCAAAGTCGGTCATTACCAACGTGACATCTCCGTTCCCTCCTTCAGGGAACGAGGGTTACATACGTAACCAAGACATTTTCTCTTTAGAGTTGCTGATTAGTTTTCCCAAGCAGTCAATGTAGCCAAACAATCTCTCTTTCATATCTATGCAATTCCCATCCCAACCTGATACAGCTCATTAGTGCGCACTATGATAATTTTCTTTAGCCCTCCTCCTCCCCAGCACCACCTTCACCTTCCACACATGTGCACATTATAGCACACATACTATTGTTAAGGAACATTATAATGAGCATACATGAAAATATAGGTGCTCTTATATTTTACGAAGGGAATCATCATACTTTAAGGGTTCTTGGCATCAACAAGCCCTGAATTAAAGTCCAATAAGGGGGGTTAATTCACTAAACGGGTATAGCAGCGCAAAAAGCTGCAACACATTCAAAAACCATTTGTAATTCTGTTAAATCAGCACGAATTAGTTCTGTGATTAAATTGAAATACATCAGAACATTATTGAAATAGTTGTTTACAGTATTTTATTTGGGTATACTTTTAATGCATTATAGTTTTATTCATACATTTTTTGTAGCAGTCGTACAAGCAATGCAGAAACGATCTCAGAAACGTCTGTTGTGCACATAAATGCATGCATTAAATTGGTTAATCACAACAGCAGGTCCTAATGAGAGAATTTGAAGTCTGATGCACATATCTGTGTTTTGGTTGCAGTGCACACAGAAATTACTGCTAGATAAACTGAAGCAAAATGCATACACTGTAACACCCAATATACACAACAAGCAAGCAAAGCGACAAAACTACAATGCTTCCGTTATAACCAACAAAGAGTTGAGATTTTGTAAGCTGTGCTGAACTCCAGGGCTCATATCTAAAACTGTGCAAAGCTGCAGGCAGTGACTGCTTCAGGGATTATAATAGAGGCATTCTAGTATGTTGTCTCGTTACATTGCTCATTTTCTGTGTATAATTTATTCAAACACAATGATTTGTGTGTGTTCATACCGTCGGGTTGAACTCAATGCTGGTGATCCCCTCATTACTTCCATCTAATGTCCCTCTGTTCTGAAGAGTTCCTGTGAGGACAAAACACTGCATTATGTTACATCAAGCCTGAGAATATGCACTCACTTTTGTTGTGTCTATTAACTGTATAATAGAGCACATCAAATTAGATCATATCATATCATATGAGATTTATCTACACACAGTAATGCTTGTCTAAAAAATGTTTTAAAAATGTCCCACCTCACAGACCTCACATAATTTTGAATAATTTCTCAGTGGTGTAATGTAACGAAGTAATAATACTTTGTTACAGTACTTCAGTATTTTTGGGGAGTATCTGTACTTTACTTGAGTTTTTATATTTCAGCCAACTTTTACTTTTACTCCACTACATTTCCTAATTAAAATGTATACTTTTACTCCGATACATTTCCCCGAAGCATATTCGTTACTTACTACAAAATAGTAAGAAGTCAGAAGAACAGGGACTGCAGGAAAGCAGGTTTGACGAATCAGTGGTCTGGCTTTTGCAAGTTACACATGCTCATGTGCAAACAAGGGCGCGTACAACCGCGAATTCATTTTCCACTCAAGTTGAGTCTGGGGTGTGCGATATAGCATATCTGCTATTAAAGGGTTCGTTCACCCAAAAATGAAAATTAGCTTGTGTTTTACTTACCCTCGAAGCATCCTAGGTGTATATGACTTTCTTCTTTCAGACGAATCCAGTCGGAGTTATATTAAAAATTGTCCTGGCTATTCCAAGCTCTATTATTGCAGTCAGCGGGTGTTGCAGTTGAACAGTCCACAAGTCGTCAAATAAAGCTTACGCATTCATAATAAAACCGGGGGATGAATAAAGGCCCCCTGTAGCGAATCCATGAGTTTTTGTAAGAAAAATATCCATATTTCAAACGTAATAAACACTTTTCTCTCACTTCCGTTATCTGTCATACGAAGGCATATGAAGTATGCGCAGTGCGCGCGAGTTTGTTTAATAGGAGCAAAGGAAGCAAAGTTGCCTTACTTTAGCAAAGGAAAACCAGTCTCCTCTTGGTTTATATCAAAATCCTCCGACATTTTTTCTTTGCAAATCTTCGGTTTGTACTTCTAATTCGTGACCGGCGTTTTGTTTTGTTCTCTCTCCACATTCGTCACTAATCACGCAACACCGCACATCTTACGTCATTCGCCGGAACTGCTTTAGTGTAAGACAGTCAGCGGAAGTGAGAGAAAAGATGTTTATTACGCTTGAAATATGGATATTTTTTTACAAAAACTCATGGATTCACTACAGGGGGCCTTTATTCATGCCCCGGAGCCGTCTGCGGCACGTTTTATTATAAATGCGCGAGCTTTATTAGACAACTTGTGGACTATTCAACTGCAATGATAGAGCTTGGAATAGCCAGGAACATTTTAAATATAACTCCGACTGGATTCGTCTGAAAGAAGAAAGTCATACACCTAGGATTCTTCTTCGAGGGTAAGTAAAACTCAAGCTAATTTTAATTTTTGGGTGAACTAACCCTTTAAAACTCAAAATTCCAGGCATTCTAAATTGTAGACGGCAAAAATATTTCTGTATGCTTTTTATATTTATATAATTTAATATAGTTAACTTAATCTATATCACACAAAGAGTGCCGTTTTTCTGCAGATATCAGCATGAAACTTAAAGAAAGTGATGTG